GAGTATAGCACAGAATACTATAGGGGAACGGATTACAAAGTGACGATACAAATGAGGCCTAGGGCTTATATAGTGCGAGTTGGCCAGGTTGAATGTCCAGGGTTGATAGTCCCGAGGGTGACGGGATCAAAATGGGTTGGGGGCGACTTGGGATGAGGTTGGGGCCGTCGAGGTCGGCGGGGGCTGGTTTGGCGCGAGAACCAAGGGCCGAGCCTGCGGACCCGAGAGGTTCGCGTGTACTCGCTGTGGCGTGCCCCAGTAAGGAATCGTAATTCCTTACACCTTGCATCCAGATAGTCGTTACAAATGCCATAGTCATGTCAAATTTCTGCAATGAAGCTAATCAAATCTCTTCATCTTCAACTACTGTTGTACTTGCCTATCTCCCCCAGGTTTTTCGTTCCTCGTGTAGCCATTCCCTCTTCAATTGGTAGCTCCTCTAAAGCTGTGTCTCACCCTGTCATGGTAGAGCCAATCTACGGGGAACCGGCCGATGGTGATGCAGATGACGGCCAGCGTGCGGACTTCACCATTGGCCTGGACCTGTTGCTGTCGACTTTATCTAGCCTTACGCGCATGCCTCTTAGAGGAACCACACGTCTCGGCCAGGAGGAACCAGACAAAATACCGCCAGCGATTCCGTATCCATTGCGGTCATAGAGCATGTCCCTTATCCTAAGCCCGGTCCCTCCACGCCAGGGTTTCTGCTAGATTCTTGCGCCGCTCGGACGTTCAGGGCACCCCTCGAAGCTTACCCTGAAAAAAAACGGCACGGCCAAATCGTGCCCTTACGAAAAGGGCTCGCACCTGATCGCCTCGGCCAAATCCGAGCTTCCTTTAAAAACGCTCTTTTTTCTGTCTAGTTACGTTACATTAGAAATCACATATATGAATTGTCCATAAAATTCAAGTTATTAATGCATGCAATGTCTAAAAAAGGTTTAGAGGTATGCTAGCCAAGAACTCACAACACACCAACCTTACTCTCGTCACGAACGGAAACAGCGAGCGAGATTTGAGGGGCCAACTGACTTGAGGAGGGGCGAGATTACTGGAGGAGCTGAAATGGCTGGTGGACGAGCGAGATGAGGTGCGCGAGCTGCCTAGATTAGCAGGGCAGCACACGTGAGGTGAGGAGGAAGTTCTCTCTCGCGGGGGGGTGGGGGGGGGGATGGGGTCTGGCTATGGGTAGCCTCAAACTTCTCTCGGACGAAAAGGCTGGCACCCAAAAGTCCCCTGAAAACCAACGAGAGAGTAAATTTTGAACTATTTTTTTCAAGGGCTGCCTCTAAAAAAACCCTGAAATCAGTCAAGAACGGGCATTCACCCTGTTAGCATAAGCCCTGCTCCACGCCTGCTCCTGCCGAGCATCCGTCGCCCACGGCTGGACCTGCTAAGCGCCCTGGGTGCTACCGCGCGACCCAAACAGGCTAGCAAAGTGTCTCCACCGTCCAACCCCGCTTCCGACGATGCTGAGTCAGTGGACGACATGCCGATGACTACGAAGAAGGTGAAAACCACAACTGAGCAGTACGCAGAGGCGCTCAGTAAATATGAGAAAAAATGGAGCGATGCTTTTCCTTGGCTTTTGCTTGTCAAGACTGAAGAAGGCCTCCCGGCCTTCAAGTGTCACTTGTGTATGGACCATGCAGGTCTCTCAGGGAAGAGCGGACGCCGTGGCACTAGTCTCTCGGACGCCCAGACACAAGCCTTCACCAGACACGCTGGCACTGGGAAGCATCGTCTTGCCTACAGGAAGCAGGCTGCTCTGTTGCATGAGACAACAACGCAGACGAGGATCGACCAGAATCCCCGTGCCACTGATATTGAGAAGGAACGGCTGACGGCGCTTCTCGATTCACTCTACCTCTGCTGCAGGACGAACGAACCGATGGAGACGTGGATCACATTGGCATGCTACCTCGCCTCTCGGTTCTACAAAAACGTCCCCGATGAAGGTTATGGCACCTACCTGAACTCCTGAGTCATCAAATTGAATGATTGGTCCTTGGTGTTTTTTAATGGGACTTCTCTAACTCAATCATTCTTTTTCCGTTTGTAGGTACGACTTCGGAGAATTCACGCAGGCCATGGCTGCATGGCTACAGTCAACTCAACTGGAGCATCTTCTGCGGAGCACGTTCATCGGGCTCAGCCTAGACGAGAGCACGGATAGGTGCCGGGGGAAGCACATGATCGTGTTCGCGACCTTCCTACGTGAGCGTCGGGTGGTCACGGAGTACCTGGCTCTTCTTATCGTCGACAAGGCGGACGCTGCCTCCCTTCTGGCGCTGCTGCTCTCCCACCTCCTGGCCATCGGAGTGGATCTTCGTCGGATCTCTAGCATCAGCACTGACTGGGCAGCAGTGATGATGGGCGTGAAGTCTGGACTTGTTACTCGTCTCCGACTGCGCATTCGTCACCTCGTCTCTTGCCACTGCATAGCGCATCGGTAACCATGGGGTTTTTTGCATTCGTATTTCGGCCTGGAGAGTAGCCATGTATGTGTTGCCTTGTCTAACTCTCTCTTCAACTGTTCATGTTCTGTGCACGTCCTTGCGCAGTGAGGCTCTGGCCGCCAAAACCGCGGCCGATGACCTCCCCTCCTTCATGATGATCGACGATGTCATCCGAGAGCTCGCTGAGTTCCTCGTTTTGGGGTCGTGGCATCAACGCTTTCTCGAGCTTCAGGATGCCTTCCTCTCGACGGCGCTTGAGCTGCAGGGTATTCACTATGTTAGGTGGCTTTCCTGTGGGGATGCCATCCAACGGTTGGTGAAGGTTTTGCCGGCAATCATCGTGATACTGTCTGAGTTCTCAGATGATAGGCTCTATACCATTGTTACCAACTATCGTTTCTGGTTTCTCTTGATGTTTCTGGTGGATGTGCTTGAGCAGATGAACACGCTCAACAAGATCTTCCAGGCGCATCAAGTAAACTTACTGTGTGTCTTTGCTAAACTGCTGGACTGACATCTTTCTGTGCCTTACCTGTGTGCACCACCCCCTCCTTGCAGCTGGACATCTCCACCGTCCACTCATCCATCGCTCGTGTGAAGTCCCTGCTCCTAAGCCGCTACGTCGACTGCGGTGACGACTTCAACGGGGCGCCGAAAGACCGGCTCACTGAGTTCCTTACCCTACACAGCCCTTCCGGTTCGCGGCGCGTCACCGTTAAGGGCATTGACTCGGAAGGTCGCCCGCGGCGCTTCAGCTCATCCTGCGCATGAAGAACATTGGTTATCCGGGCGAGGGGAAGCATGATGACTGCGTCACGCTGTATATGGCAATGGCGGAGGGCATGGCCAACAATTTGGAGGAGCGGTTGGGTGACCTGAAGCAGTTGAGTGGCGTCATGCTGTTTTGTGCCGACCAGTGGCTGTTGGTATGGGCACGTGCGGCCAGGATCAAGCAATGCATCGAGTGGTTCCATTCCCTTCTCCTTCTGTAACACGCGGAGGGAGCTGAAGAGGTCTTACCAGGTAAGGGTTTAGCTCATTATCAAGTGGTCTTTTGTGTCATCAAGCACCGAAGTCAAACATGATTGTTTTACTTCCCCTTACCTCGTTGACAGGCATTGGCACGCAGGCGGCCGTTAAGGAGATTCCCCACTTCACCCCCGTCATTGCAGCGCTGCCGCGGAGCGAGAAGGGATTCTTCACAAGGCTGACGACCATTCTGAAGACACCGGACTGGGACCACAGCTACCCCAACCTTGTTAAGGTGTGGTGTGCAACGTCGGTTCTTCCTCTAAGTACAGTGGAGTGCGAGCGCGTGTTCTCCCACCATAACGTTATTAAAAGCTGGCTACGTGGCACCTTGAAGGACTCTTGCCTAGGAGATTTAATGTGCATGAGTTTGTTAGATTACGAGCCGGACTGGGACGCCGTGATAGAGATCTGGAGGGCTTACAAGAAGAGAAAGCTGTATAGCTGCACCCCACAGTGCAGGGCCCAGAAGAACTGCAAGGGAAAAGAACCAGCTGAAGACGTACCTGGAGAAAACCATGATAGCATAGCTGAGGAGGATGATGAGGAGGAGGCTTAAGTAGATTATTTACGGTAATACGGTAATTGCTAGTGTTGATGTTCAGTGCCATTCTAGCGTGCAACCCTGCTTACTTAGGATTTTTTTTTTTTTTTTTTTCAGGGTACCTTAAAACCAATCTGAAGCCCTGGTTGTGGTTGTCATTCCTTTATGACATTAGATTGGAGATAAAACGAAATTATTAATCAATAGTTATCTTCATTTCAAGCTCTATTCAATATTCCTGGAAAAGGAATCATGGGATATACACTCGATATATTATCATATCCGTCACTCTAATGATCGGATTAGAAGTCTCGTACAGATCTGAGTTATCTGCCTTGTTGAATGGTTGCTTCCAGATCATAGCGGAGCACACCATCCTAGGGACTTGCCTTGCAGCATGTGGCCCCCAACATGGCCAGTCGCGCAATCCCTGGTGCCCAGCAATCGCCAAGCGTGCTGGTTGTGGCCCTCACAGCGCAATCTGACGTGGCGTACAATGGTTGGCCTGGTGCTTCTCCGAGCACGTCGCCAAAACTAGGGATGGGGTGCGGTTGAGCCTCCATCCACCTCCTTGCTTCACGGACCGCGGCTCGTAATAGAAATTGCAGCCCCTAATCGCAGCACGTTCTTGTGCGATCCTGTTCGTTCGAGTTGCGAACTTCCAGGAGGGTGTTGCGACATTCTCACCGTGTCTCGCCAGTTGTCGCCTGTCTCACATTGCAGAATCGAAACGCGCCAGCATGGAACAGACCGCGCATCATGCTGTCAGAAACATCATCGAGGTAAATTATAACCGTCCGATCAGCATTTTCAATTAACTTAAGATAATACAACCGTCCGATCAGTGCCAGATCACAAAACTGATCGGCGCGAGACGGTCACATCACATCATTTTCGATAGGGGATTATCAGAGAAGCAGCAGCAGATAGGTAAGTGGAGAATCGAGGTGCTGGAGAAAACCAGTCAGGCAGATAGCAAGGCCGACGTGAGAGACAGCGGCAGGTAGCAACACAGGCAGGAAAGCTGGAGCCACCTTGAAAGTGACGGGCGTGTGCTTCGTTTCATCCACTCACCACAAGGCAGCCATGGATGTCCAGCCTTGATTGCACCGCTTGTTTGTAGCCTAAAGACGCGTTATCCGTCAATCTCAACTTGTCCGGCGTTTAGTCTGCCAACGACTTGCCTAGACGTTGTTGCCTAGCCGACGAGTTAACTTTTCCTCGACAGGCCCTATTACACCAGTCGTACATCCGTTCCCTCAGGAATTGAGAAAACGGTGATTCTTCATCCACCGTGTATTCAGAGCAGCTGATCCTGCAGGCAGTCAAGGAATCGACTTAGGTTGTCGATCAGTTTATGATAGGCTCGCTCGTCACAACACCCGCTACTATTGCGGCGTCTAGCGAGGACATGGCGAACGGTAGTCCGCAAAATCCGCTTCTTAGAGTTTGCAACACGTGGCTGGCCAATGGCCGGCCAGCAGCAGAAGCGACGATTTTAGTCACTGGAGGAGCCGGGTACATCGGTAGCCACACTTGCGTCCACCTTCTACTGGAGGGCTATAGGTACTACTAATACTGGTCGAACAGTTTCCATAAGATGATATGATATTACGAACAGTTCTGATGATATTTTCTCAGAAGTACTTCCATAGTTGCCATGATACGTTCCTTGCCAAGTTTCCTAGATTGTGGCCTACTGTTCTGGTCGTAATCGCCTAACGGTAGCTTGGTGTCACTTATCTGGTTTCCCCGGTTTATCTGCTACGTGGTGTCCTCAGAGTGGTTGTGGTCGACAACCTGGACAATTCATCCGAGCAAGCCGTGAAGCGGGTGGCGGAGCTCGCAGGCGAGAATGGCAGAAACCTAACATTCTTCAAGGTTAGTCAATACCGCTTCTGGTAACATCATTCTTAAGCACGATTGATAAGTTGCGATCTGGTACTGACTTGAAACATCATATTCAGGTGACCAACTATGTCACCAGCACCTGTATCAGCAGTATTCAGACACCAGGGGTTTTTTCGCTGATTGGAATGGATGCAGGTTGACCTAGTGGAAAAGGAGACGCTCGAAGAGCTCTTCAATCAGATTCAGTAAGTGAAGAAGGCAAGCACAACAACTATAAAAGCAACCACCAGAACTATAAAAGCAAGCACCAGAACTAACATCGTTCCCGTCTGTTTCTTTCCATTAGTTCACACAGCGACGTCTGCGTGGCTCCTTGTCTACCTCCTGGCTTTTCCTGGTCAATGCGATAACGGCAGTCTTTGAGCTCGATTCTCAGTTTTTTCACTCTTGCATTGACGCACACTTGTGATCATTATTCACTTGGAATGTTACAGTTGCATTTCCGACGCGGGGGAGAGCGTAAGGTTTCCCTATGTTTCTGCGTTGAGTCACATGTACGCTGGAACTGACTTCCTGGCAATGTTACACTCGCAGTTTCGACGCGGTGATTCACTTCGCGGGGCTCAAGGCCGTGGAGGAAAGCGTCAAGTTCCGGTGAAATTTCTGCATTAAGTCCAATGCCACTTCCTTGGATTACTCTTGCAGTTTCGACGCGGTGATTCACTTCGCGGGGCTCAAGGCCGTCGGGGAGAGCGTCAAGTTCCCGCTCAAGTACTACCAGAACAACGTCACCGGCACGCTCAACCTGCTAGAAGTCATGAGCGACCACGGCTGCAAGAAGGTACGCGTTATAAGACGCTTTGATAAGAACCTCGATAGAGGTGCTGAGATCTTCGATAAAACTACTACCAGGACAACTTCACGGCACGCTCAACCTGCTGGAAGTCATGAACGACCACCGACGGCTCACCCTCTCACTCAAGCAATGATCGCTCTTGTTTGCTTAATCACTAGTCCCCCCAGATCCTGTCCTCGTCGTCAGCCTCAATGTACGGCCAGCCGAAGCGGGTCCCCTGCATGGAGGTCGCTCCTACGGCCACCAGGCATCATTCGCGCATTTCCCTTGGACCACTCAACCCCGTTTACTTCATCCCCATCCTCGCATCCTCGCATCCTCGCATCCTCGCATCCTCATCCCCATCCCCCCCCCAGATCGTCTTCTCGTCGTCCGCCACGGTGTACGGCCAGCCGAAGCGGGTCCCCTGCACGGAGGACGACGAGCTGCACGCATTGAACCCCTACGGTAGAACCAAGGTACGGCGGTCGGTGCTTCACGCCTCGTCAGAACCGAAAACACTTTCTGTTCATACGCGACTCGACATCAGGCGCAGAACTCGTATGGCATAGCCAGGACGCCGCGTTTCACGTTCTCTCTGTTTCTGAGACACGACAGAAAGACGTGTAGAAGTTTCAGGGGGGACAGGTCAGCGCGAGGAAAATCGTCGCCACGAGGAAAATCGTTAGTTTTCGGCAGTTTTTATCGCGACTTCGGCAGTTTTTACCTTCCCTACCCGCTACCTACTTCATTCGCAAACGCGACTGGTTTTTCTTCGTTTCCAAAAATCTCCGTTACAATCCGCCCCAGCTCTACATTGAGCGCGCGCTGCAAGACGTGTACACCGCGGACGCGGCATGGAGCATCGTTTTGCTGCGCTACTTCAACCCCGTGGGCGCGCACCCGAGTGGACGGATAGGGGAGGACCCGCGGGGCATCCCCAACAACCTGATGCCGTTCATTCAGCAGGTCGCGGTGGGGCGGCGCACGCACCTGTCGGTGTTTGGGAGCGATTATCCAACACGCGACGGCACAGGGGTGAGTGGGGGAATTGGGGTTGGCTGGGAGATATGTGGGGCTTGTTGCACCCGAGAGGGCGCATAGGGGAGGACCCGCGGGGCATCCCCAACAACCTGATGCCGTTCATTCAGCAGGTCGCTGTGGGGCGGCGCACGCACCTTTCAGTGTTTGGCAGCGACTACCCTACGCGCGACGGTACAGGGGTGAGTGGGGGCAGTGGGGGTGAGTGTGGGTTACGTATGGGGCTTGGCCCACAAGGAAGGAAGCATCGAGGGGAGGGAACCTGCAGGGCATCCTCAACAACCTGCATTCTTGGAAGTCACTTCAGTTATGTTTTCGTCTCTTGTTTCTTGTTCTCGCCCCTCGTTTGGGTCACACGCCTTCTTCTCATCCTAATCTTTCTGCACATATCTTGCTCTCCTCGTCCCATTGCCTCTACCCCTGACGTGGATGCAACCCCTTGTGACGCGGCATGACTAGGTGCGGGACTACATTCACGTCATGGACCTTGCTGCCGGCCATGCAGCAGCGCTGAGGCGGATATTCACGTGCCAGGCTGGTGGTACGTGCAGCGTGCTTGTTGTGGTGTCCACTGGGGTAGACTGAGAGTTGCTAGTGTCACATGTGCCTTTCTCACGTTTTGTGCCGTTCTCACATTTGGTGCCTTTCTCACTTACCCCTAGCCTGTGACGGGTGCAGCCTTGGCACGTTGTTCTCCTCTTGTGCACTCCAAATGCCACTGCCCTTCCCCCTGCCCTCTCACTCCCCACTCCCGTCATCTCCAGGCTGCGACGTGTACAACCTAGGCACGGGCAAGGGCACAACGGTGCTTGAAATGGTGGCTGGATTCGAGAGGGCGTGTGGGCAGGTAGGATGGCGCTGCTGTTCCGCCTCTGTCTACCCGTCTGCTCCCCCTCTGCCTCCATCATCTCGTCCGTCTCCACGCCCCCTTCACCTTTTCCACGCACTCACGCACTGATGCACTCACCCACTCACTTGTTTGCTCATTCCTGTCAACCCTTGCGCTACTTCTGCCTCCCTCCAATCGTTTACTGTCGATCTGCTTCTCTCTCTGCAGAAGCTTCCTGTGAAGCTGTGTCCCAGACGACCGGGAGATTGTTCTGAGGTCTTTGCATCCACAGACAAGGCACAACGAGACCTTGACTGGAGGTGAGAGTGTAGTGCGACACTATTCTATATAATGCCAACAAAAATGTCTCTAATGCATGCATGCTCATCCAGTCCACTTAGCTCATCCCTGCGCTTTTCACTCTTCCCTGTGTTATTCTTTGTTCTTCCAGAGCTACACGCACTGTGGAGGATATGTGCCAGGACCAGTGGAACTGGGCGCGGCAAAACCCTATGGGGTATGCAGCAGATGAAGATAGTGAGGAAGGGGAGGACAGCGTGGCTGAAGGAAATGCAGCTAATGGAACTGGTTCTCTCGGGGTGTTCAAGAGCAGAGGCATGGGATGCCGGAAAGTTTCCCTTATTAGCATATCGCCGATTTCGAGTTGCGGGTCACTGGGATCGCTCGATGACTATCCTCGTCTTGACGGCCAACACAAAATCCTCTGACGGCTGGTTGGGGAGCATCTAGGTGGAGCTGCATAGGACGTGTATCCTCTGTGGATTGGGTAGGATTTTGCATTTCTTTTATTTATATTCCTTCTTTGCACCATGTTGTGAATAGATCTAATTTAGGCACTAACCAAGTTTCCCTAGTAAAGCTCACAATCTTTCTATGAAGTCTAGAGTGCAGTGTATTCTGACATGCCGCTCCACTGAAATTGTCGGCTCGGACAATCCCTCCCCCACGTGGCGACGTGTCGACGAGCGCTTCGCCTAAAACACGTCATGGATCGGGACAGTCACGTCAGCTTGCGATTCAACTTTTCAGGCGATAATTAAATAAAACAAAAATGCCACTGTATAATTGAGCATCAGGGTCTTCCAAGCCTAATTTCTCGCCTGTGACTTTGCTAAACGTTTGAGTCTCCACCTTGGAAGAAAATTCTGGCTGGAAGGGAGACTTTCCTCGGAACCGGGACAGCCACCAGCAACCCTCGCCCTTCGGTATGGGTATTATCGCACGGTATCCTTCTTTTACCACCAGCCATCGTCCTACGCCCTTACTCCACCCCTCCTTTCTCCCGTTTCCCCCTTGTGAAGCAACCTCCAGCCAACCCCCTCCATCCCCACAGCCGCACAATTCTGGCACTCTTGTTCTGCTTGCTGTTACTGTATTACTGACTGCTTAGTCATTATTTATCGTTGCTTCCTGCTGCTGCTGCTGCTGCCACTGCTGCAGCTGTTGTGAGAAGTGCTTCTCTTTGGCGCCTTTAGCTCTGTGGGCAGGGTTTGCGTGCTTCCGATTCGTGTCAGCAAGGATGGCGGGACTCCTGCGCTATGTGCTGCTGCTGGCCCTAGTCTTGCTTATCGTCGTTCCTTTTGCTCGCTCCGACGATGACGGATCTGATAACCGTGTGGAGTCTGATAACCCCTTGGTGGAATACGATAATCTCCTGGAATCTGATAATATCGTGGGATCCACGGAGGAGAATCACCTCCTCTCCGCGCTTCCCGCGCGCCATCCGCTGATCGGCGCGCTGCGCAGCACGGAGGAACACTTCGCGCGTTTCATCCACCGTTTCAACAAGTCGTACGCGGCGGATCTCCGCCAGTACCGCGCGCGCCTGCGCATCTTCCGCGCGAACCTCCTCCGCGCGGCGCAGATCCAGCTGCAGGACCCCTCCGCAGAGCACGGGGTGACGCCCTTCTCGGATCTCACCCCGGAAGAATTCGCTAAGACGCATCTCGGCCTGCTGCCCGTGAATTCCGCGAAATCGGCGCGCAGCTCGCTTCTGGAGAGCCTGAAAGCGGAGGGAGGGTTGGAGAGGTCGGAGCTGCCGACTGGGGATCTTCCCTCGGAGTTCGATTGGCGCGAAAAGGGAGCAGTGACGGGCGTCAAGAACCAGGTGAGAAACGTTTTCCATGAACCCGTAATGGGCGCGCAGCTCGCGGCTGGGGATTGTGTAGTGGAAGAGAGTGTAGGTCGATTACGGGTGTAGGTCGATTACGGGTGTAGGTCGATTACGGGTGTAGGTCGATTACGGGTGTAGGTCGATTACGGGTGTAGTAGGTCGATTACGGGTGTAGGTCGGAGTTGCCAACTGTGACCTTACCGAGCAGTTCGATTGGCGCGAGAAGGGAGCGGTGATGGGAGTCAAGAACCGGGTAAGGATATTCTGAGTCGACTCAAAAATCAGTTGGGGGGAGTATTTAATTTTAAGGCGCCTCAAAACTAAGAATCAGTTGGGGGGGAGTATTAAAAAACCTGGAGGACATGAGGGTTTTTTCTTACGTTTGCTCGTGCGGGAAGGCTATATTTCCCGCGTGTTTTTATGTTCTCTCTGCCGCAATTCCGTGTTCCAGCCCCCCAGGCCATGCGTTTGAGCGCCTATTCAGGTTTTGTTTTGAGTCGACGCCAGATACACCTGTTTCAGACCCCCCGGCCATTTGTGGGTCCGGCCACACCTATTTGTGAGGCGCCTATTTTGGTGTGTGTTGAGTCGACTCCTAGTACACATGTTTCAGCCCCCCGGGCCGTGTGTGGGTCGTGCCATGTGTGGGCCGTGCCATGTGTGGGCCGTGCCACGCCTTCAATCGCGTTGCTGAGCTTCAGAAGAAGGTGGCGCTCAACACTGAGCACACTGTTCGGGAAGCAAGGAGCACTGTTTCGGGAAGCAAGTCACACCGTTTCGGGAATTCCCTGCTCATCCCTGACTCCCTGCTTCTTTTCGTTCCCCGGATGGAATCTGATTCCCTGGCTATGCTATTCTGCTCCACCTTTTCGCAGGGCATGTGCGGCTCCTGCTATGCCTTCAGCGCCGTGGGAGCATTGGAGGGGGCGCACTATCTGGCGACGGGCGAGCTGCTCAACCTCAGCGAGCAGCAGATCGTCGACTGTGACCATAATGTGAGCTGAAATTTGTGTGTATGCCTTAATTTGTGACTGTAACAAGGGTCTGTCGTATGATATGGGAGCAAGCATGGGCTTGGTAGGTAGAGGGGGCGCACTATCTGGCGACGGGCGAGCTGCTCAGCGTCAGCGAGCAGCAGATCGTCGACTGTGACCATGACGTGAGTGGCAGGATGTGACTATAACGTGTGACGTGACTGTAGCGTGTGGTATGAGAGCAAGGATGTGAGTGTAAGATGGGGCAAAGTGCTTCATCCTTTTCCATCCACCCCTCTTCCCATACCGCCCTCCTCTCCCCCTCCTCTCCCCCTCCCCTCCCCTCTCCTCCTCTCCCCTCCCCTCTCCCCCTCCCCCCCCTCCTCTCCCCCTCCTCTTCCCCTCCCCTTCCTCTCCCCCTCCTCTCCCGCTCCCTCTCCCCCTCCCCTCCCCTCCCCTCCCCTCCCCTCCTCTCCTCTCCCCTCCTCTCCTCTCCCTCCTCTCCTCTCCCCTCCCCTCCTCTCCCCCCTCCTCTCCCCTCCAATCCAGTGCGATCCCAAGGAGAAGGAAGCATGCGATGCAGGCTGTGGCGGCGGGCTCACGAACGATGTGTTTCGCTACGTCCAGAAAGCAGGCGGGCTGCAGGCGGGCTGCTTGCAGAGAGTAAACAGGCTGTCTGCAGGCGGGCTGCAGACGGACTGTAAACACTGTCTCTCTCCCCCTTCCTCTTCCCCGCCCTCATCTCCCCTCCGCGTTTTCCATTGCAGTGTGACCCTAAAGAGAAGGAAGCATGTGATGCAGGCTGTGGCGGCGGGCTAATGAACAACGTGTTTCGCTACATTCAGAAAGCAGGCGGGCTGCAGACAGAGAAGAACAAGCGCCTCTCCCCTTTTCCTTCCTTTCCTCCCTCACCTCCTTGCTTCAGTGCGATCCCAAGGAAAAAGAGGCATGTGACTCTGGGTGCGGCGGCGGGCTAATGAACAACGTGTTTCGCTACATTCAGAAAGCAGGCGGGCTGCAGACGGAGCAGGAGTACGGGTACACCGGCAGGGAGGGGCGCTGCCAGTTCGACTCCGGGCGCGTGGCAGCACGCGTCGAGTCATTTGTGGAAGTGCCTCAGAAGGACGATCAGATGCAGGCGCATTTGGTCAAGTACGGCCCTCTGGCAGGTGAGCGTTCATCCGTGTGCATCAAACAGTATGGGTTCCTTCCAGGGAGGAACAGGTACACAGGGAGGGAGGGGCGCTGCCAGTTCGACTCGGGGCAGGTGGCAGCGCGGGTGGAGTCGTTCGTTGAGGCGCCTCAGAAGGAGTCTATTTTTTAGGCGCCTCAAAAATAGACTCAAAATTTTTGAGGCGCCTCAAAAATTGCAGCGCGGGTGGAGTCGTTCGTTGAGGCGCCTCAGAAGGACGACCAGATGGAGGCACACCTCGTGAAATACGGCTCTCTGGCAGGTGAGGGCCGGCGCATTTTCTGTCCTGTAATGGAACTGAGATGCCTTTTGAGTCGACTCAAAAATCACTCAAAAATCACTTTTTGAGTCGACTCAAACATTTTCTGTCCTGTAATGGAACTGAGATGCCCAGAGCTGTGTTTGTGGAAGTTCCTCAAAGGGATGATCAGGTGAAGGCGCACCTGGACAAGTACTACCCTCTGGCAGGTGAACTGGCGCCTTGAATTGGGGGGCGCCTTAAATCCGACTGATGCCGTGATTCAAGGGGTGCTGGTGATGGGGTATGGCTCGCACAGCTTCTCCCCGACTTCATTCCCACCGTCTCCCCTCCCTTGCAGTTGCCCTCAACGCCAACTGGATGCAGTCATACGTGAAGGGCGTGTCCTGCCCTCTGCTCTGCAACCGCCACACGCTGAACCACGGGGTGCTCATGGTGGGGTATGGGTCGCATGGTTTCTCCCCGGCGCGGCTGTGCTACAAGGACCACTGGGTGATCAAGGACTACAAGGACTACTGGGTCGTCGAGAACAGCTGGGGGGATGCGTGCGGCGCGGTTCCCTTGGCTTGCCACCACTGTTGATCTCCCTTTCTCCCTTCCCCCCTCCCTTCCTGCCCTCCCGCCTGCCCGCCCTTACTCCCTCCCCGAACACAGTTGCCCTCAACGCCAACTGGATGCAGTCATACGTGAAGGGCGTGTCCTGCCCTCTGCTCTGCAACCGCCACGCGCTGAACCACGGGGTGCTCATGGTGGGGTATGGGTCGCACGGCTTCTCCCCGGCGCGGCTGCGCTACAAGGACTACTGGGTGATCAAGAACAGTTGGGGCAGCAGCTGGGGCGAGCAGGGCTACTACAAGCTGTGCCGGGGGAAGGACGAGTGCGGGATTGATTCCTATGTCTCGGCTGTGGTTGCTGTCAATCCTGCTGGTGAAGGCTTGGCGACAGAGTAGGTCGTGCGGTGGGGCGAGGTGGGGGTGAGGTGAGGCAGGGGTGGGGCGAGCAGGGCTACTACAAGCTGTGCCGGGGGGAGGCCGAGTGCGGGATTGATTCCTATGTGTCGGCGGTTGTTGCGGTGAAGCCTGCTTCTGCTGGAGGTGGTGCTGCTGGAGAGTAAGGGGTGAGGGGAGGGCAGAAGGGGGAAGGGCAGAAGGGGGAAGGGCAGAAGGGGGAAGGGGAGAAAGGGGAAGGGCAGAAGGGGGAAGGGCAGAAGGGGGAAGGGGAGAAAGGGGAAGGGGATAAAGGGGAGAGGGAGAAAGGAGAAGGGGGAAGGGGAGAGGGGAGCTGGAGTACGGCTCGCACGGCTTCTCCGCTTCCGCGGCTGTGTTGAGAGGAGAGAGGAAGAATGATAAGACAGTGGTAGGAAGAGGTAGTGAGGCAAGACAAGAGTCGTGGGGGTGTTGGGGACTAGGCTTTGTGCGGTTGCCGGGAGGATTGTGAACCTGTTGAAATGCGCTACTGTGCATAGTGATTTCTCTTTGTGAACTTCCTCCCTATCCTGCATTGTTGCACCTATTGCACCTTAGTAGCAGGAGAGTACTATCACTTCTGGTTATACTAGTAGCTGAGGGAGCAGTGCACCCATTGAAACCATGCCGTACAATGATTGGCTGAGCTGACCAAGTGCAAGGAACCCATAATGGATATGGTGCTGCCTAGGGTGGTGCTTTCTAAATTGCGCAGCCGGTTGCAGTTTGGACGAAACACTTTCCCTGAGAAAGTCATGCAGGGAGAGAACCATCTGTTAACGTAGAAACGAATGATTACTAGAGGTGGAAACCTAGAACAAATACTAGTTGGTTGTACTCACTAGAAGCATACCTCAGTCTAGCCTATAACTTCTACATAAATAATATGTATAAGTTGACACACCCCCTAGGCTAGACAAGGGGTGAAACTAAACAAGAAGCAAACAGCTCAGGGCGGCACTACTAGTCCAACCACTGAGGCAGGGGTCTGGAGACCAGTCAGCAAGAATACAACCAAAACTGAAGCAAGCCAGGGTGGCACTACTAGTCCAGCCACTGGAGGTAAGGCCACAAGGCCAGTCTGACAAGCATATATAATAGAGAGTACACAATCAGGATCCTAACAGGGGAGCAGCTATAGGAACAAGACCAAGCTGTACACAGTGCCGCTGATGATCTTTAGGCGCAAGCGCCTTAGTAAAGATATCAGCTGTGTTGGCACCTGAGGCCAAGTGAACTACGCGGGCCTGGCGGCGCTGCTGTAGCTCGCGCAGGAGGAAGTACCGCAGCTGGATATGCTTCGCTCTGCCCTCAAGCCGAGGCTCCTGACACAGGAGTATCATGGCCCTGTTGTCAGCGTACAGGACCGGGGCAGAGCTAGGCCGCTCACCTAAGTCTGTGAGCAAGAAGGTCAGCCAGCGGAGCTCCTGTGCCGCCATGGCACCAGCGTAGATCTCAGCCTCACAGCTAGACTGAGCCACAGACGACGAGCGAGTGGATCTCCAAGAGATAGCACCCGAACCAAGGCTGAAACAGTAGCCCTGCGACGACCTGAGCGTCTCAGCGTCGTCTGCCCAAGAAGCGTCTGTGTGCCCAGTAAGGACCACTGGCCTGCGTCCTCCTAGCACTAACCCCATGCCTGATGTACTAGCAAGATAACGCAAAACCCTCTTAGCGGCAGACCAGTGCTGAGGTCGGTGTCTGCCTGTAGCCACAAAGCGAGCCAGGATGCTGAGAGGGTATGCGAGATCTGGGCGAGTGCAAGTCATCAGGTACATGAGGCAACCCACCAGCTCTGCGTAGGGGCCACTGGGCTCTACTGGCTCCTCAGGAACGGGAGCAGAGAGCCCATGGTCTACGGGTAGAGGTGTGGGCTGTGCGGAGGAGAACTGAAGACCGAACCTCTGAAGGACCTGACGCACCAAGTGTGACTGGGTCAGAGTGATGGTGCGTGTTGCTCTGTCCCTAGAGATCTGCAGGCCAAGATAGCGACGCAGCTCTCCAAGGTCAGTGCAGGTGTGTCTCTTCAGCAGCTCAGCCTTCACAGAGGCCAGTGCGTCCCTGTCAGGAGTAGCGAAGACCAGGTCGTCTACGTAGACAAGGATGTAGAACGGAGTCTGGCCGGAACGCACAAACAGTGAAGGGTCAGCAGAGGACGGAAAGAACTGCAGGTCTGCTAACGTGGCACGTAGCGTGTCGTGCCACTCGCGGGGAGCCTGACGCAGGCCGTAGACCGGGCGCCTGAGAAGCCACTGGGTCCCAGGAGGGAAGGTACCAGTGAAGCCCTGTGGTCGGCGCAGGTAGACCTGCTCGTGTAGGCTGCCCTGAAGAAAGGCAGTAGAGAAGTCGAGGGAGTGAAGCTCGTAGTCACGCTGTGCTGCTACGTGTAGCAGCGCCCGAAGAGTGGTCATCTTCGGGGTCGGGGCAAAGGTCTGGAAGAAGTCAACCCCCTCGCGCTGACTGAAACCTCTGGCCACGTAGCGCGCCTTGAAGACAGGCGGCTCTCCAGGGGGGCGCTTCACCTTGAAGAGCCACCGACCATCGACTATGTTCACCCCAGGCGGGGGAACTGCGTCGACGTAAGTGCCGGTGGATCTCCAAGATGCCATCTCCTGCTCCATGGCAGCTATCCACTGAGAGGCCCAAGGTCCCGAGGTGGCCTCAGCGTAGGTGCGAGGGGTCGGGATGTCGAAGGCGTCTGGGTCACCCTCAGGGACTAACAGCATGGAGCAGAGATGGGGAGCAGCCTCGGAAAGGAAAGCCAGCTCGTACTGCCTGTCCTCTAGGACGTCACTGCCAAGGGCAGGAGCACCCCCGACGGACAGAGGACGGGCAGGGTCAGAGACCAGAGCGGTAGCGTAGTCAAGGCGGCGGGTAGAAGCGAAGTCAGCGACAGCAGCGACAAGCGCGTCAAGGCGCGAGACAGGAACAGCAGGGTCGGTAACAAGAGAGGCAAGGACCCGAGGGACAAGGGGACGAGCAGCACGGAGGTAGTCAGAGAACGGAGGAGGTGCAACAGCAAGGGACGAGGGAGGAGGGGACGGGAGGAGGGGAGGACGAGACGAGTGGGAACGGAGCAACATAGGGTGGGTGGGCAGGACAGGAGAGACGGGACGAGCACGGGAGGGACGGCGAGCCCAAACGTGAGACGGAGGGGTAGGGTCAGGGGACAGCGGAGGAGACACAGGAGGGGAACGAGGAGGAAGACGGGCCGGAGACGAGTCTGGCGGCGGGAACACAGGACCGTAGACAGGGAGGTCAGGAGGCGGTGGGGGAGACACCGGCGCGCGGTCCGGGGAGGGAAGGCCGAGCAGGCGGAGAGCGGAAACCGGCGGCGACGGCTGCTGCGGCGGCGACGACGGCTGGGCCGGAACTCTCGGACCAGCAGAGGCAGAACGACCGTCGGCAGAACACTCAACAGCAGCACCCCCAGAACCAACACCCCCAGAGCGAGAACCCCCTCCAACACCAGCGGCACCCCCAGAAGCCGCAGGACGAACACCCTCCTCCACACCAGCACCCCCAGGGGCCGAGAGCAGCGGCGCCAGTGGCGGCAACGGCTGCGGCGGCGGCGACAGCGGCGACGGCTGCGGCAGCGACAGCGGCGGCGGCGGCGACGAAAGCGGCGACGGCTGCGGCGGCGACGGCGACGGCGGCGGCAGCGGGGTCGGCGACTGCGACAGTGGGGGCGGAGGCACCGGGGAAGGGGGACGCGGCAAGGACGGACCGGGGGTACCACCAGAGTCAGCAGACTCCTCAACGGGGACAACCGACGGGAGGGGAGTGACGTGGGAGACACCAGACGGGGCAGGACGAGGCGGGAGAGGGGCAGGGGCTACCGGGGGAGAGGGAGCAAGGAAAAGGGGGGGGGCAACTGGGAGACCTCGGTGAGGGAAGCGGCGGTAGATGGAGACGGACTCATCAAAGGTGACGTCACGAGAGTGGAGGAAGCGGTGAGACGGCGGGTGGTAGAAAAGCCAGTCAGACGAGTCCAGGGGGAAACCGAGGAAGACACAGGGGACAGTGCGGGCAGTGAGCTTGTCCGTGCCAGAGGCACGAACGTGAGCAAGGCAGCCCCAGACGTGGAACGCAGACGCGTCACCGGGGGACCCGGTCCAAAGGAGGGTCGGCGAAACCTGCGGCCGCTGGGAGCGTGGCCACAGGTTAAGCTGGTGAGCCGCGTAGCGAACAGCGAACGGCCACAGAAAATGGGGGGCATCGGCATGGATCATGGAGGTACGGGCGACCTCCATGACCAAGCCGATGCGGCGCTCAGCAACCCCATTCTGCTGTGGCGAGTCCGGCAACGTGTACGACTGGGTGATGCCCTCCGCACGACAGAACTGTCCAAGCCGACCAGAGGCGAACTCGCCGCCACGGTCGGAGTGGAGACACAACACGGGGAGACCGCGGTGGAGACGCGCAGCCACAACCCACGGGAGAAGAACGTCGGGCACGTCAGCCTTCCGCTCCAGGGGAAACACCGTGGTGTAGCGCGTGTAGTCGTCGACAAGCACAAGGAAGTAGCGCTCACCGCGCGGTCCGGGGACGGGGGCAGGGCCCCAAACGTCCAAGTGCAGGGTCTGAAGGGGGGCAGTAGCAGGACGCAGCGAGGAGGAGTGAGGAGCACGGCGGAGCCGACCCTCGACGCAAGGCGTGCACGGTGGCGCAGTCGAGGGAGGAAGGGCAGGGAGCGACGCGGGGAGACCTAAGACAAGACCGTGCTGGGACATGTGACGCAGACGCGGGAGAGCAGGGTGACCTAAGCGGTGGTGCCAGAGAAGGGAGGGGTCAGTGAGGGACCGACACGAGCAAGCTGCAGCGACCTGGGAGGACGCACCAACCGGGGGGGAAGCGGTGTGTAGGGTAAACAGACCGGACACCGGGTCCCGGGGGAACGTCGCAAGGGGGGAACCTGAGACAGCCTCAGAACAGACAGCGAACCGCTCGTGCCCGGGGAACGTGGTGGTGACGCCGAGGTCCTGGAGACAGCCGACACCAACCAGGTTCCTGGAGAACGAGGGAACGTGGAGGCCAGTAAGGGAGCCCGAGGGAACTGCCGGACAGGGAAGGGACGTAGAACTGCGCGCGACGACCGGACCCGCAGAGGGGTCAGCGAGAGAGACAACAGCAGGTGCAGCAAGCGGCGTGAGCGTGGAACGGTCGCGGAAGAAGCAGGCAGAAGCACCAGAGTCGAGAGTGAAGGACAGCGACGCAGTGGCGGGGGCCGGGGACGGAGCCGGTGCAGCGACTAGACTAGGCAACCTAGGCAGTCCTACGCCTGTCGCAGCAGGGGAAGCTAAGCTACACAAGGGTGAAACACCTAAACTAGAGTACACAGGGTAGTAAGATCCATCAACACTAGAAGCGTCAGCATACAAAGCATGCAAAGCAGCACCTATCTGATCCATGTCTAACTCAAAGATCAGCACGCCCTGGCGGAGCAGGCTGTGCCAGTCAGGGAGGTCCGGGGCCGGGCCAAAGCGACGACGAAAAAGATCGTCGAGGCGGCGGAAACAGCGGGCGGTCGGGTGCGGGCGGCGGCACAGAGTGCCGCGGAGAGGCCCGGTCTGAAGCTGGTACTGGCAGGTCACAGCACTGGAGCCGCTGGTAGACGCCAAGCTGCGCGGGCCGCCACCACGGCCACCGCCTCCGGAGGTGCCGGGCCAACCAGGCGGGAGACGAGCCCACGGCTGCGGCGGGTGCTGCTGGGACGGCGGCTGCGGCTGGGGCTGGTCCTGCTGCTGCTGGGACTGCTGCTCCTGCCCACCGGTGGTAGTCCCCTCAGGCGGACTACCGTCACCACCACCACGACCACTACCACCTGCGTCACCACCCCTACCTCCCTGGCGGCCACGGCCACCGCGACGCGAGCGCTGCTGCGGGTGGACAGCAGCAGCCGTCTCGGTAAGAGGGGTCGCCGTGGCGACCGCAGCCGAAACGTCAGTGAACGTGCACGGGGATGGGGCACAGCCGTGAAAGATAGAGACTGGCGGCGCACCGCTCGACTGAGCGATAGTGCGCTGGCGAGTCTCGATCTCAGTGAGGGTGTCGACAAAGGCGGTCAGGGTGAGGTCACCCGGGTGCTGGCTAAGAAAGTGGTCGCGAGCACTAGCGAGGCGGTCTGGCAGGCGCATAGCGATAAAATAGAGCGTCATGCAGAAAGGAGGGGGGAGCGCAGTGAGCTGGGCAGCAGTGCTGGCAGTGCGATAGCGAGTCTCTAGGGCACGCAAATGAGTGGCAAAATCTGCGACAGTAGGGAAGGCAGCCAGGTCTGGGAACAGCATCGGAAAGAGCAAGCGGCCAGCAGAAGCGGAGGCAGGGGTGGAATAGCGAGCAATAACGGCGTCTAAATAAGCTTTGGCCGTTTCAACAGTAGCAAAACGCGAGCGCTCAGACACAGGGAGGGCGTGACTAATAGCAACCTGAGCTACTGCATCGCGTGAGTCCCAGATCGCACAGGCCAGCGCAGCAGTAGAGAAAGCCTCACGGTCATCAGAGGAGGGGTCAGCAGGGAGGGGAGTAGGTGCAGGGGGACGGGGGAGCAAGCCATCAGCATGGACAACCAGAGAGTGGCCATCCTGGCGCTGACCTGTAAGCTGGCGGCGAAGATCGGAGAGCCAGGCGGCGAAGTCAACCGCGTGGCCCTCAGCGTCCAGGCGGAGCACAAAGTCAGCCATCGTGCAGGGTCAGCGGCACAGCTCCTCAGCGACACAGCGGCACAGCAGCACAGCTCCTCAGCGGCACAGGAGCACAGCGGCGCGGGGACACGGCGGCAGCACTCTCCAGTAGGGCAGCAGCTAGGCGTCCCAGCGCAGGCAAGCAGAAGACACAGGGCCCGAGAGGACACGGCAGGCCGAGCAGGGGAGGCGGGCAGGTGCTCTGGGGCCGGGCTGGTGCTGGGAGGGGCCAGGCTGGTGCTGCTGGGGCCGGTCGGGCACGAGGAGGGGCCGGGCAGCGCTGAGGAGAGGCCGGGCGGCGCTAGGAAGGGGCCGGGCGGCACTAGGAGGAGGCCGGGCGGCACTAGGAGGAGGCCGAGCGGCACTAGGAGGAGGCCAGGCGGGCGAGCGCTAACAGCAGGCGCGACAGGGGCCAGCGGGCGCGACGGGGCCTAAGGGGCGCGACGGGGCCCAGCGGGCACGACGGGGCCCAGGGGGGGCGCGACGGGGCCGAGGAGGCGCGACGGGGACCAGCGGGCACGACGGGGCCCAGGGGGGCCGCGACGGGGCCTAACGGGCGCGACGGGGCCCAGGGGGGGCGCGACGGGGCCTAGCAGGCGCGACGGGGCCTAGGAAGCGCGAAGGGGCCCAGCGGGCGCGACGGGGCCTAGGAGGGGCGCGACGGGGCCGAACGGGCGCGACGGGGCCCAGAGGGGGGGACGCGACGGGGCTCAGGAGGCGCGACGATGCCTAGGAGGCACGACGGGGCTCAGCGGGCTCGACGGGGCCCATGGGGGGCGCGACGGGGCCTAGGAGGCGCAACGGGGCCCAGCGGGGGCGCGTTAGGGCCTAGGGGTCGCGACGGGACCCAGCGGGCGCGACGGGGCCTAGGGGGAGCGCGACGGGGCCTAGGAGGCGCGACGGGGCCCAGCGGGCACGACGGGGCCCAGGGGGGCGCGACGGGGCCTAACGAGCGCGACGGGGCCCAGGGGGGGCGCGACGGGGCCTAGGGGGCGCGACGGGGCCTAGGAGGCGCGACGGGCGGAAGCGGTAGGCGGGGGGATCCTAACCTAAGCGTGATACCATGTTAACGTAGAAACGAATGATTACTAGAGGTGGAAACCTAGAACAAATACTAGTTGGTTGTACTCACTAGAAGCATACCTCAGTCTAGCCTATAACTTCTACATAGATAATATGTATAAGTTGACACCATCAACTACAGCCATTTCATTTTGTTATTTGATCCCTATGATCCAGGAAGCACCTCCTTTGATCCCACCGTAATTAAACTTACACAGGTTGGGACAGGCCTGTCACGAGAGCTAGGTAGCTACGAACGGTAGGAAGCCATGAAAATGGCGTGAGGGTTTAGCTAGGAGAAAGTTGACGAGAGAAAAGAGAGCGAGAATAGAAGAGAGGGATACAAGGAGGGGTGTTGTACCCTCTATAGGAAGTTTCAGTAACGCCTACCAAGTCTACAATTATTTACTAACATACATAATTCAACAAGGCCCTAGTTGTTGCAATTGTGATTGTTACGAAACACATGAATCCACAGTGTCACTTGTGAACAGTGAAGCATGTGAGCTTGGGGAAAAGCACCTTCAAATGAGCATGGGAGCGATCCTGCACAGGGAAATGAGGAAGCATCGGTAGCTGGTCAAAGGAGAATGTGCAACCTTGTAAAAAGAGCAAGTATGGAGGTTAGAAAAGATTCTTGTAACAAAGAATTGAAAAGTACCTTCAGTTGATCATGGGTAGCTGATTCAAGGACATGTAGCATTAAAAAGATAAGTAGGGCTAAAGAAGACGAAACAGGCGATCACAAGCACGGTGTTGTAGGTCCCTTATTAAGAATGCTAAAGAAAGACCATCTGAGGTCCCTGACAACTCCGAGGGACCCACAACTCCGAGTTTGTGACCATCTGTTTCTGTGGCTCTTTCAGAGTGCATCTCTAACAAGCCCCCCATCTGCTTCACAAGCACGAGTTGCTCGATGTGGTCAATGAGTCATTGCAGGACGCCCAGGCACGGGCACGGGCACGGGCACGGGCACGGGCACGGGCACGGGCACAGGCACCGCCTGAGATGTGAGACAACTACTAAGTCGTACCTCTATCCCCACACAGCCATTGACATCCAAAGTGTGCAGAGTGTTGACGCACGAAGCAGAGAGAGCTGCCATGGACGCATCTGTGACTCCCCTTATGCCATGGAGACTGGCGAAGGGAACAGGGAGAGGAAGCGGGAGGGGGGGGGAAAGGGAAGCAGGAGTGGGGGGAAAGGGAAGCGGAGAGGGGGGAAGGGGGGGGGAAAGGGAAGCGGGAGGGGGGGGAAGGGAAGCGGAGAGGGGGGAGGGGGGGGGGAAATGGAAGCAGGGAGGGGGAAGGGAAGCAGGGAGGGGAAGCAGAGGGGACGGCATAGCTGTTGGTTGACAAGTGCAGAGTGTTGCCACAAGAAGCAGAGAGGGCAGTTGTAGAAGCAACGGTGACTCCCCGTATGCCGTGAAAGAGACTGGCGCATGGGGAAAAAAGGGGGGGAAGAGGGGAATGTGGGGAGTGCTGTTGCTAGAAGCAGCGAGTGCACTGCACCACAAGAACGAGTAAAAAACATGAAATAGAGCAGATTAAGAAAGCGTACCTCAACAGCTTTCTTAATGCCGAGGCTTCTAGCTTTATGCTGAGGCAGGAAGATTTTTTTGGCATAAAAAAACTTCATTTGCATGCTTTTTAATTGGATGATGCTGGTGTGATGAGGCGCATCTCAAACCATTAGAGAAGCGTACCTCAGAAGCTCGAGATAGTGGCAGGAGGATGCTACTGTGATGAGGCTCTGATCCGTTATAAGCACACACCTGGTGGGAACATGTGATATAAGGGAGAGACTTGATAAAACTACGAACGGAACAAGAACAATCATACAAAACACATGGTAAGATTTGATGATATGTGAAGACCAAATAGAAGCAACCACTCTAACAACAAAGACCACGAATCTCGTGCCATATGCAACGTAACGAGGTTGAGGGATATGAGGTGAGAGCGTGCCGCGCAAGGCCTATGGGCATGGGCAGCATACCAAGAGAGGTTGAGGGATATGACGTGAGAGCGTGCCGCGCAAGGCCTATGGGCATGGGCAGCATACCAAGAGAGGTTGAGGGATATGAGGTGAGAGCGTGCCGCGCAAGGCCTATGGGCATGGGCAGCATACCAAGAGAGGTTGAGGGATATGACGTGAGAGCGTGCCGCGCAAGGCCTATGGGCATGGGCAGCATACCAAGAGAGGTTGAGGGATATGAGGTGAGAGCGTGCCGCGCAAGGCCTATGGGCATGGGCAGCATACCAAGAGAGGTTGAGGGATATGAGGTGAGAGCGTGCCGCGCAAGGCCTATGGGCATGGGCAGCATACCAAGAGAGGTTGAGGGATATGAGGTGAGAGCGTGCCGCGCAAGGCCTATGGGCATGGGCAGCATACCAAGAGAGCTTGAGGGATATGAGGTGAGAGCGTGCCGCGCAAGGCCTATGGGCATGGGCAGCATACCAAGAGAGGTTGAGGGATATGACGTGAGAGCGTGCCGCGCAAGGCCTATGGGCATGGGCAGCATACCAAGAGAGCTTGAGGGATATGAGGTGAGAGCGTGCCGCGCAAGGCCTATGGGCATGGGCAGCATACCAAGAGAGGTTGAGGGATATGAGGTGAGTGCAGCACGCGATGCCTTGCAGTCCTTGGTCTGTCAGGTGCTGATGGAGAGAGGGGAGGTGGCAGCTCAGAGGGGCGAGGGGAGGTGGCAGTTCAGAGGGGCGAGGGGCGAGGGGAGAGGGGAGAGGGGAGAGGGGCGAGGGGAGAGGGGAGAGGGGAGAGGGGAGAGGGAAGAGGGGAGAGGGAAGAGGTGGGTGCAGTATAGAAGGTTGAGGTGCAGTGAAGGGGTATCAGCACTGCCTTATCCACACAGTAACGCCATTAGCACTGCCTTATCCACACAGTAACGCCATCAGCACTGCCTTATCCACACAGTAACGCCATCAGCACTGCCTTATCCACACAGTAACGCCATCAGCACTGCCTTATCCACACAGTAACGCCATCAGCAGAGGTGAGAGCAGCGTGCGATGCCTTGCAGTCCCTTGTCCGTCAGGTGCTTATGGAGAGGGGGGAGGTGGCAGTTGACAGATGAGAGATGTGAAATTAGGGAGAGGTGGGAGAGGTGAATACTACGGCGAGGTGAGAGATGTGATAGTAAGGAGAGACGAGAGAAATGCCAGTAGATTGAAGCGAGAGACGTGACAGCAACGAAAGGTAAGCAGTAGGGCGATGCTTTTAGCACACAAAACACTTAAGCCCGTCCCACACCGTACTTTCATGCCGCAGAGGTCAAGCACCCGTAGGTGTGAGAGGCGGCCGATTGTTGCCAGGGACTCGTCAGTGAAGCTGGTAGTGACACAAGGAGGCAGATGGGGAAGGGGGAAATGATAACAAAGAATGTCTAAGAGCCGGAAGTGATGTGAATCATCACTGGCGGAAGATGGGGGGGAAGGGTGATTGAGGAGGGGACACGGGTTGGGCATAGAGCAGCTAAACCCTTGGAAGGGTGAATGTGGAGGAGGTACACTAGGTGCTCAAAAGGTGGCATTGAGCCATGAGTAACTGTACCTAGAGAGGGCGTACAGCAGACGTTCCTCCAATTGAGTGCATGCTGCTGTAATGTGCTTCAGCCCCGTGTCAGTCACTGGGTTTACATTGAGTCGACTCAAAATACACGGGGGGGGGGGAGGGCTGTACCTAGAGAGGGCGTACAGCAGAAGCTCCTCCAATTGAGTGCAACCTGATGTGACGTACTTCAGGCCCGTGTCTGTTGCCCGCACACAGCTGCCATGGATGGATGGATGGATGGATGGATGGATGGATGGATGGATGGATGGATGGATGGATGGATGGACAGTTGAAAATTCTAACTCCATTGCGGACGGACGGACAGTAGACGGGTGGTGCAGCGGTTTGGATGGGGGTGATACAGACAGAAAAAAATGAGATGTGTGCATGAGGCACATGCGAGGCGTGAGAGATGGGTGGATCTGAGATGACCCAAGGAACGAAGGGCAGAAGGGTGGGCAGAAATAAATCTCAGGGGTTGAGGGATTACGCACCGTGTGAGGTTGAGGGGTTACGCACCGTGTGAGGTTGAGGGGTTACGCACCGTGTGAGGTTGAGGGGTTACGCACCGTGTGAGGTTGAGGGATTACGCACCGTGTGAGGTTTAGGGACTTGAGATTGGGGAGAGAGGTGCTGATGAAGCGGAGTGCCGTGTCTGTGATGTTCTGCAATGGTGGGGGACGGAGAAAAGGGCAGAGCGGGGGAAGGGGGGAGGCGGGGGAAGGGGGGAGGCGGGGGAAGGATGGAGGAAGGCGGAAGGGGATGACGCGGAGAGCGGTACCTGTGATGTTCTGCAGCTGAAGGGGGACGGGGAATCCGAAAAAGGGGGGAAGGGGAAAAGGGCGGGAAGGGGGGAAGTGGGGGCGAGGGGAGAGAATTGTCTGCGACGTTCTGAAGTGGGGGGGAAACGGGGAAGGGGGGAGTGAGTGAGTGAGTGTGAGGGTGAGTGAAGGAGTGAGCGAGTGAGTGCGTGTAGCTAGAGTCACCTTGCATCCACTAAGGTTGAGTGTTTGTAACGAGGTGCATCGGAGCACCACTTGCTTCACACCTGAATCAGTCACCCTGGAAGGGGGGAAGGGGGGATAGATAGAGGCATAGCAATGAGAATGCGGGCATGGGAGACAGATGGAGTGTGAGACAGATGGGGCATGAGGGGATGGATTTCGACAACTCTTTTTAGTTGATGAAGAAATAGCGACATGGGAAGATGAGCAGATGGGGACATGAGGAGATAAGGAGATGGAGGCATGGGCATATGCGTGCAAAGGGGAAAGGCGCGAATAAGGGAGGACAGAGGAGAGAGGGGGAGGGGATGGGAGGGAGGGGATGGGAGGGAGGGGATAGGAGGGAGGGTATGGGAGGGAGGGAAAATGAAGGAAATACGGGAAGAGGGTGGGTCCCTTGTTTTTCGCCACGGCCCTGCAGCTATCGCTCCGAGCGACCGCCGCTGCCCACCCTGAGGTTGTCGTCCTTGCAGCGGTAGGCACAGCCGCTGCCCACCCTGAGGTGGCCACCGCTGAGAGCGGTGCCCACCGTTGCAAGGTAGTTGTCCTTGAAGCGGTGGGCACCGCCGCTTACGCGGACAACATCACCTCCTGGGGCCGGCCGACGCTTGCACCGCGGCCTTCAACTGCCTCATCCGCGCCATAGCCAGCTGCGGCCTGCAGCACAACCCCGCGAAGTGCGAAGCTTGGGGTCCACAGGCGGTAGACCCCTCAGTGATCCCGCCGGGGATCGCCACGGGCGCCGCTAGCCTCCGCGTCCTCGGCAGCCCCGTGGGACCCCCTGCTGCCTGTGCCGTCGCTATCCGCGACCGCCTCTCCACCGCGGCAGCCCCGCTGCCTCTCATCGCCGACCTCGACCCTCAGCTGGCACTCCTCCTCACACGGTGCCTCACCTGCTGAGCCAGCTACCTCCTCCGCTCAACCCCGCCTGACTCCCTCCCTGCTGAGGAGTGGGCCGGTTGGGGGGGACGCCTCTTCCACACCGCGCTGGACGCCTGCCGCCTGCCCCTCCCCCGCACCCGCAACGAGAAGCGGAGGGTGTGGGAGCCGGCGTCGCTCCCGACCACACTTGGGGGCCTTGGGATCTCCAACCCCGCCGTCGAGGCGGGCACGGCGTACCTCACCTCAACCGCCGCCACCGCGCACCTGCTGTGCGGACTGCTGCCCGTGCTCCCCGTTGCGGTGTCAAGCCTCCTTTCGCTCTTCGACCCTGACCCCGCAGCCGCTGCCCCACTCCCGCGCCGTGTTGCCGCGCTGGAGGCTGCCCTGTCGCAGCACGCGGCTGAGCTCTTCCGTGAGGAGCAGAGCGCCCCATACCCACCCAAGATCCAGCACGCTCTTGCTCTGCACGTCCAGGCGGAGCGCTTTACTGCCCTCCTAGAGGCCACCCGCAAACTCCCTCTGAACCCGCTCCAGGGGCACACCCAGCGCCTCCTGCTCCTCATGGGGCCGGGGGCGGGGGATTGGCTCCACGCCCTCCCGCTCTCCTCATCACTCCGCCTCTCCCCGGGGCACTTCTCCACGGCGGTTGCGTTCCGCCTGGGGCTCCCCCACGCCACCTCTGGCCGTTGTGACTGCCGTGAGCGCATCGAAATCCTGGACCCACGCTTGCCCGACCACCTCCTCAGGTGCCATCAGGGCCCAGGTCCCACGGCCACTCATCACAGGCTGCGGGTTGACTTCAGAGTCGACTCAAAAGTCACCACGGCCACTCATCACGGTCTGCGGGACGAGTGTGCAAAGATCGCAGTGGAGGCGGGGTCCATCACCCGCATCACAGGCTGCGGGGTTCATCGCCCACATGGAAACAAACCTCTTCACCCGTGTCGCGAACCTCTCAGCGCTGACGTCGCCATCCAGATACGGGTGCGGTTTGGCTCGGTGACATCACCGTGACAGACCCAATCTCACAGGACGACGAGTTTGCTCGGCGGGGCAGTGGATGGGCCGCCAGGAATGCCGCCAGGGGGAAGGAGAACAAGTACCGCCCGCCCACCGGCACGGCCGGAGTGGGTCAGTTTCTTTGCTTTGGCAGCAGAGACCTATGGATTCACCTCCCCTGGTGTCTTCCAATTCCTCCGGAAATGCAGCGAGCTCGCGGCGAAGAGGCACCTCGGGGCTGCCCCCCCCCCCAAGGGAGGCGGCCAAGCTGGTCCATGAGTACCGCCAGCAGTGGTCGGTGACTCTCCAGCATGGGGAGGCCGTGGCCCTCGCCATGGAGGAGTGGCCCCTGGGCAATGCCACTGACCCACTCCCCGTGGGGGACCTTCTCCACGTCTTGGAGCCGGCGCTCGCGGACTCCTAGGGACCTCGGCTCGTACCTTAGGACTGTCTTGTGCTTGCCTTGTCCGTGCTTACCTTACGTTGCCTGTACCCCTTCCTATCTAATACAAAGGACGAATTGAAAAAGAGGAGGGAGAGAAAACAAGCCTGACGTTCTTATGGAGTGAGACGGACTGGAGGTTTGGGAGCAGCAGTAGTGGCTATTTCGTGGCTAGACATACGTGGTCTACTAAGGTTCCCATAGAGAAAGAAGGGCTGAAGTATGGGAGCAGTTTAGCACTAATGCATGCCGGATGCCAGCCTAGTACATGCCGGATACGTGCCTAGTACATGCCGGATACGTGCCTATTACATGCCGGATACGTGCCTAGTACATGCCGGATACGTGCCTAGTACATGCCATATACGTGCCTAGTACATGCCATATACGTGCCTAGTACATGCCGGATACGTGCCTAGTACATGCCGGATACGTGCCTATTACATGCCGGATACGTGCCTAGTACATGCCATATACGTGCCTAGTACATGCCATATACGTGCCTAGTACATGCCAGATACGTGCCTATTACATGCCGGATACGTGCCTAGTACATGCCATATACGTGCCTAGTACATGCCATATACGTGCCTAGTACATGCCAGATACGTGCCTATTACATGCCGGATACGTGCCTAGTACATGCCATATACGTGCCTAGTACATGCCATATACGTGCCTAGTACATGCCAGATACGTGCCTAGTACATGCCGGATACGTGCCTAGTACATGCCGGATACGTGCCTAGTACATGCCATATACGTGCCTAGTACATGCCAGATACGTGCCTAGTACATGCCGGATACGTGCCTAGTACATGCCGGATACGTGCCTAGTACATGCCGGATACGTGCCTAGTACATGCCGGATACGTGCCTAGTACATGCCGGATACGTGCCTAGTACATGCCGGATACGTGCCTAGTACATGCCGGATACGTGCCTAGTACATGCATTATATGTGAGGAGGGAGAGGAAACGTGCCTGAGGTTCCAATAGAGAGAAAAGGATTGGAGGTTCGGGAGCAGTTTAGCAGCAGTGGTGACCCCTTGGTCCGTGACTTGCTGACACGCGTTGAGATTCAGAGACACGAGGGGCTGAGAAAGGGGGGGGAGAGGGGTTTTGGGTTGGGGGGCGGGACGTGACGAGTGAAAAAAAGGGACAGTGTTTGGGAGAAGTGTCAATTATTTGACGTGTTGGTATGCTGACGCATCACTAGCATCTCCCTATTTAACGAAGCCCTAAGCCCTGGACTCCTCACACCCCCCACACACACCTTTCCTTCCAGCAGCAGCAGATCGGCGTCTGTGATTGGCAGCGAGTCGGCTCAAAAGCATTGGACCTAATCAATAGAATCACACCTAGAACCTACCGCCACAACATCCACCACCACACCACCCCCCCCCCACACACCTTCCCTGCAAGCAGCAGCAGATCGGCGTCTGTGATTGGCTGTGCGAACTCCAGATTCAGATGCTGAAGGTGACTAAAACGAGGCTGGGAAAAGGGTCGAGGGGAATCAGGTACGGGGTGACATAAGGAGGGGGACTATAACGAGGCTGGGAGAAGACAGAGGGGGAGGGAACGAACGCAAGAAAAAGGAGTAAGGGGGGAGAGAAGTGGGGGGGGGGGGGATAAGGTACTGAGTGGGAATGAAACCGACCCTCTGCCACCCTGGAAACCTGAATCCCTTCCCCCCCTTCCCCCCCCCCGGGGTTCCGCCCCTTTCCCCCTGTGCGCCCTTTCGTGGGCTTCTGTGCGCGCACCTGAGCGAGCGTCTGGGCGAGCTTGGCACTGGCGCTAGTGCCGCCCCTAAACCCTTACCCGCTCCCCCACCCACCTCCCCTCCCCGGTCCCCTCCCCTCCCTCCCCTTCCCCCCTGTGCGCCCGTTCCTGGGCCCCTATGCGCGCACCTGAGTGAGCGCCTGGGCGAGCCTGGCACTGGCGCTAGTGGCACCCTGCAGGGAAAGAGACTGCAGCGGAAGCGGGGGTGGGGAGGGGGGGGAGTGCGGGAGGGGATTGCGCAGTGGGGGGTATACACAAGAGACCCTGAGGTATTAAGGCTTAAAGCCCGAATCTCACAATTACAACTGTAAAGCGTTTGGTACCCAGTTACGTGGGCGAAAGTAGAGGGAAAGGCTGGGAAAAACGACTTCCAGAGCAACGGAAGGCCGGGGGGGAAGCAAGCGTAAAACTGACAGCAGAAATATGAGACTGCACGAACATTGGGAAAACCGCTGGAAGGCTGATCTGACGGGTAAGGAGGTTTGTAAATCGAATCTACGGCCGTTACCGAAGTTGAAAGTGAGGGTGAACAAATTTGGATTCCAGGCCGTCGGATCTGCGAGGCTGCACGAAATTGGTTGGGAAGTTTGTCCCGAGCCAAGTTCTCGGTTAGGTTATTTTGTCGCGACAAACAAGCATCGCCACCTGCGCTTTCGTTATCGTCCGGTTTATCTGCCTCGCCCACCAATCACATTCTGCCTTTCCCAACCAAGCGTAAAATTCTCGTTATTATGACACGCGGGCTGAGCCCGGCGAGGAAGAGGAAGGCAACGAAAGAAGAGGAACGGCGGGGCCGGCGGGGCCGGCGGAGACGGCGGGGCCGGCGGGGCCGGCGGGGACGGCGGGTCGCCTGAAAGAGGATGGAGGAACAAGCCGAGGCGCCGTCTCGGTTCCATCTCTGACCGGTTCAGAAATCGGTCCTCGTGGCAGGAGTCTATTTTTTAGGCGCCTCAAAAATAGACTCCTCTGACCAGTTCAGAAATCGGTCCTCATGGCAGGAGGTAACTCACCCCTTACTACGTAGGTGACCTTTGAGTCGACTCAACAGTTACTACCACTGGTCTATATTCGAGATAAGGGGCGAGTTATCTCCGGTCAAGATGACAGATGATCAGGTTTTTGCGAAGAAAATCCGGGCCATAAGCTAACGGAAAATCTGGGTAATCCACCCGGTCGTACCTTCCACAGCTCGGGCTGATAAGCTGCGGTTCTTAGTTCCCTACTCACGCACGCCGCGGCGCATAGGTCGCGCTGCGGCAGCCATGGAAGCACGCATCGTAGCGCGTCGATTTCCCGATGTGACTGTAACGAGCCCCGCTCGACGTGAGCTTGCGAGAGGGAGGATTGGGAGCCGCTCTGGTGCAGTTGCGCGTCCATATCGAACACCCCGCTAAGGAGCAGACTCGAAACAAGATAAAGTGAGTGAGCACGCAATCCGCAGGTAAAATCCCGTCGCGATCCGGGAATCGTGGCGTAAGTCGTGGCGACTATGGCAACAACGATGTAGCTGTAGCATGGCGACTCGTGTGAAATGTGTACCCGGCAAAAAGAATATTCGATGTGCGTTTTAACTGCATAAAGAAATGTCTATCGTAAGCACAGTTTTATTTGGACAATTGGCGGGTGATGGTGTAACTACTGTATTACTCAACCTTTGTGTAATGCGCAGTAAAGAAGTTTGCTTACTGGGCTGCATTTGGCCATGTTGTTTTGAGGCGGCATTGGCCGTGCATTTTTTGACTCTCTTCCATCTGTCCTTCCCTGGTTACCTACTTTCGTATTGCTGCACCAGACTTACCCAGGCAGCTGGGAAAAATGCTGCAAGCCCTTCATCTGGACCAGGCGTGTTGTTTGGTCTGTAAAGCATAAACCCATCTATCACCTGTTTTTCCGGAAAAGAATCATCAGTGCTGTTGCACACCTTTCCGGCCATCCCGCATGATTTTAGAGCGGTGGTACTTTCCGACCAGACCGATTTAATCGACTTTGACAAGGCTGCGCCGTGGGTGGGGGGAGGTGGGGGGGAGTGTCGAGGGAGGGGTGGGGGGCAATGTGGGGTAGGAGGGTAAATTTGGGGAGGGGGCAGGGTGGGTACATCTGGGAAATAGCCCTGGGAGAGTGAAACTTCAGTACAGTAAATGGATTGAGGACACGCCACTGTGATTCGATCATGCTGACCACGAAAGGCGGTCCGTGTTCCGTAGTGAATGCACGTTTGAGAGAGCACTGTACGCAATGCTATACTGCTCCACGTGATGAGCATGAACCACGGCGGAGGAAGCAATTTTATGCGACAGAAAAAGGCCAAATGACGAAAGACGACAAACTTTGGCTTGATTGTTGGATGTATGTAGAAGTTTTAACTTTCCCGAATTCCCAGCCTCAATTGGCCCCACTCGTGCTTACTGACCACGTCGGGGCACCCGCGTTGCGTAGCTGTAAGTTCCAGCCGAGAAATACGGTTCTCGCGGGTGTCTGGCGAACAAAGCCGAAGGGAAAGGAATTGGGTGAGTAGAAGAAGATTAGATGGAAACACAGAACCGGAGTGAAAGAACATCGAGGAGCGTGTCCAAAGTGCTATTTGTCATCCGGTGTGTCATCCAACGGAGAACAGCGGATGCCAGGCTGTTATCCGTGGGATGACATGTTTGTCATCACCAGATGACAGCAACTGTGAAAATGCACTTGGGCCAGTCCGTAACAGTGTCACATGTGCCATTTGCGGGCGGCTAAGGGCAGACAATTCGAAATTCAAAATTGTGATTCATAAGTGTTACGCCTTCGCCCGTCAGACCTCGCCATTTTCGTCAACCCCGAAACAGGGAGCTGAATCTGGCACAGGCGTGTTTCTCGCATGTTTGTGCGAGTTTCAAGAATTGTACATCGCTGTATTTCGCAACGAGTGATTTCGTGCGTCTGGCGCTAGAATTGACAGTAGGTTTAGGCGTGCACTGTCCCGTTATCCTGCCCGATCATACTGTTCCGGTTTTTTTACTATGGGGTGTCTTCCGTATGTCATCCGGTCAGCCAGGGTCCCTGCACAGAACTTTGGATGCGCCAAAACGGCTTGGCACCCCCAACCCGCTCTGTCATCCGCTCTCATCCGCAAGTATGACACCTTGGACACGCTGTCAGCCCCACCCCCCCCCCCCCCCCCCCCCCTTCCCCCGAATCCCAAACACGCTATCTTCGTGGAGGGTTGCGCTTATTGGTTGTTTTGAAAAAACATTCCAGAACCCATCTGACCGAGGAGCAGTTCAAGCTACTGTGGCCGACTGAGCTGGTTCAAGGGGGGCAGCACGACTCAATTCACTCCAACTTTCCAGAATGGTAACCCTGCCTAAGAGGAACGTTGGAAATAACGTCCCTGTCTTCCACTTTCAAGTCTGAGGCGCACGTGACAGTGCTACAATCATGGGTAGGTCGTCATGAAGTCTTACAATAATCTGAGGTGATCGTGACTGAGAAATACGACCATGCTGACTCGGGTTTTCAAGGCTCATTCATCCGGCGGCATTCAGAGATTCGGCAAACCAAACCTATTAAAATCTGGAATTGGGGTCACACACAGCCCTTAATTTCTCAGAAGTCAGGGTAGCTACTCTCAGGGTCAGTCAACCATGCCGACAAGTTTGGGCTGGTGAAGTTTACAGTACGGCACTGAGTGTCAATTTCTACGTCTATTCGGCACGTGTCATCGTTCAGCCGACGCGGAGGATCTTCGATCGCTCGCCTTTCGCTGATTCACGTCGCCTCGTCGAACAGACGTTGAACATTAGTACTGTTATCTATTTCCTGCAGCAGCAGAAGTTTGACCTGTAGCACATTTTACCACCAAGCACCATCTGCACTTCCAGCTGCACGGTCCTTCAGAGATATCCCGCATTTCACAGGTATTCTAGCAACGTTCAATCAGCTGCGGCGAACATGAACGGAATATGCAGATCAGGTTACTCGCGCAATTTTACCAAGGCCTTCTACTAGAAGACTAAGCTCTCCTTTGGGAGCACACTCGGTCAAACCTTGAAGTTCCAAATCGAGTACGACTGCTCTTGATAGTAGAGGTAGAAGTCGATACATTCTCGCGAAGATGGCGCTTACGCCGCCAGTTGAGTCGTCAGACGCCGGCCAGCCGCAGTCGGCTTTCGAAACGGCCGACTCCAATGGCTCTGAAATCGACGAGCCGCAGCTGATTCTGCGGAAAATGGCGCTGATGAATCTCGTGGCGGCGGACGGATACCACTGGCTGAAATACGGAGAGAAAGTACTTTCAAAAATCGGCGACCCAGTTTCAGTGAGAAGGTAAATCGACGAGTGTGGGAAACTAAGCGAGTCTAGGATTCCTGCGCTAATAATTGTCAAACGGGCCCCTTGGTAGTAGCAGAATTAGATCCGTTTGACGATTCCGCGAGTCCGCAGACCACGGCCGATCCTTCGCGAATCGCGATCAGTCTGATGGTTCGTGCACCCATTGCGCGGGTTACCACGTTATGTACGAAACGATTGTCGCCTCAGTCCTGGAAGTTCCAGGCTACCGAATGTTCACGAGCCCCGCTGCGGCTCGCCTACTTTTGCTTGAAGCCATTCAACCAGCCTCGCGCGAGCAAAACGTGATCTAACAACATTATGAGGGCCTCCAAACAGGACATTTTACCTGAATACTGTTCTCATAGTACACCACTATCAATATATATACACTTTGATGATATCCGATATTGCAATAGGTATCATATGAATTTATATAGGGATTCATAGATGTATAGTCATACATGTGCATGCATGCACTGAATAGAATGTATGCACTTAGAAATATATAGAACATCATATATATATGGAATCATTGCTGCTCTTCTTCCAACTCCTTCACCGTTTCCTCTCCCATAACAGCATAATTCCCCGGACTTATCTCCCCGTCAAACAGGGATTACACGTGTGGAGAATCCAGTGGAGAGAAATGAAGAGCCGGCTTTTGGTGCCCAACGCACAAAGTGGTCGATGTGGATACTTCCCTCCTTCGATGTGCCGCTTGCTCGGGCCTACAACCACTCATAGTTCCTTCACACTCACCTCTTTCCCCCCTCAACAGGGCGTACTACCAAGTGTGGAGAGGCTCGTGGGGCGAAGGGCCAAAGCCGGCTTTAGGTGCCCAGCCGGCTTTAGGTGCCCAGCCCGCTGAAGTAGTGGAAACGATGCATCTCTGCCCTCCGAGCGCCGCCTTGGCTCGGGTGACTTACAGCCGCTCACTGTTCTCTGCACAACCTCTTTCCCTTCTATTGTAACAGGGCGTAATACAAGTGTGGAGAGGCCAGTGGGGAGAAGGGGAGAGCCGGCTCCGCTGCCCGACCCTCCGCCCTTCGACGCGTCATTGGCTTGGGTTACATACACCCACTTACTGTTCTCTGCTCACCTCTTTCCCCCTCTATTGTAACAGAGCGTAATACAAGTGTGGGGAGGCCAGTGGCGATAAGGGGAGAGCCGGCTTCCGGTGTCCAGCGCGTAAGGTGGTTAATATAGATCCCTCTCTACCTTTCGACGCTTCCATGGCCGGGGTCACCTACAGCGACGCACTGTTCTCTCCACCTCTTCCCCCCCAACAGGGCATACTACAAGTGTGGAGAGGCCAGTGGGGAGAAAGGGAGAGCCGGCTTCCGGTGCCCAGCACGTAAGGTGGTGGACGTGGACCCTTCTCTACCATTCGACGCCGCTTTGGCTCGGGTCACCTACAGCCACTCGCACAACCACCCGCCGCCATCCTCACTCACCGGCCGGCTCCGGCTAAGAGCAGGGGTGCTCGCCGAGCCTCATGCCGCCGAGCCTGATGGTTCCAAGCCTCCTGGTGCCGAACCTGCTGGTGGTGGTACGGAGGAGGAGATGGGAATAGAGGAGGTAGGGGAAGCTGGCCACAGTGGTTCTGCCTCTGGTGCTTCGGCCGGCGTTAGTGCTGCTGTGGGTGTTGGTACTGCGGCCGACAGTAGAGGTACTGCTGGTGTTGGTGCTGCTGCTGGCAGTGGCGCTTTTGAGCTGCGTCAGAGGACACAAGGGGCTTTGAGCCTTCAGCAGCAGTTGCAACAGCTGCAGGAGAAGCAGAAGCAGCAGCACCAGCAGCATCAGCATCAGCACGAGCAGCAGATGCAGCCGCCGCAGCAGCTGCAGCTGAAACAGCAACAGCAGCAACATCAACACCACCACCAGCAGCACCAGCAGCAGCACCAGCAGCAACACCAGCAGCAGCAGCAGCACCACCACCACCACCAACAGCAACAGCAGCAGCAAACGCAGCAGCAACAGCAGAAGCAGCAGCTTCTCTCTCTTCTACTGGCGTCCCTCCAACAGGGAAAGAACTCAGCTTCTGGTACACCGCCCAGCGCTGCTGCTGCTGCTGCCGCTGCTGCTGGTGGTGCTGGTGCTGCTGCTGCTGCTGCACCCCTCACTGCTGCTGCCGCACCCCTCACAGCCGCACCACCCAGAGCTGATGCGACACCCCCCGCACCTGTCGCGACCTCGGCTGCTGCAGCCGCAGCTACAGCCGGCGCCACTTTCACTCTGACTGCTACAAACGCTATCACCACTGACGTCCATGGCGGCAGCAGCAGCAGCAGCAGCAGCAGCGCCAGCGCCAATGCCTCTCAACCCTCTAGCTCTCCAGTGGCCCCGCCTGCATGGGTGCTCTCGCTGCTTCAGGCCTCCTCTGCTACAGCTGCTGCTGCTGGTGCTGCTGCTGCTGCTGCTGGTGCTGCTGGTTCTTCTGGTGCTGGTGCTTCTGCTGCTGCTGCTGCTGCTGCTGCTGCTGGTGCTGTTGCTGCTGATGGCGCTGGCACTGCTTCTGCTGCTGGTTTTACATCTCTTACGGTGCCTCATGCTGCGCCATTTGCAGAAACAAACGACCTACACACAGCAAAGCTCCCTCCCTCCACAGTCACACCCAATACAATCGCATCGCCAAGTGTCACACCCTCTACTGTCCCCCCGTGGACTATCACACCATCGATGGCAGCGGCGCTGCTGCTGAAAATGTCCCAAGCTAACGGCCAATCATGCGATCCGCTGATGTCACTCGTGCCGCCCGCTTTCTGGACCCCCATGGCAGATTATCTCGCAGCTGCTGGGAAGCTTCCAAAATGCGTCGGCCCGCTGGGTTTGGCTGTTGGCCACGTGGCAGCCATGTCAGCAGGCTTATCCGCCATGTCAGAGAGCGGGACAGGGAGAGGAGCAGCAGGAGCAGCAGGAGCAGCAGGAGCAGCAGGAGCAGAAGGAGCAGGAAGGGGCGATGCTACATTTACAGCAGCAGCAGCAGCGGCCCACCCAGCAGCCACAGGAGCAGCAGCACCATTAGCAGCAGCAGTGTTGCCAGCAGTGATAGCAGCGGCTAAGTCCCTGGTAGCTGAAGCAGAGGCAGCAGCAGCAGGGCTCGTTGCAGAAGCACTCAGAGCGTTAGAGAAGGGACAAGCTGCCTCTGCCCCTCCCCTGCTGCTGCTAATGCTGCTTCTAGTGGGCCTTCTGCTTCTGCACCTAGTGCAACGCAGCAAGCAGCATGGCAGCCCATACTCGCAGCACATGTGGCACCACAGCAGCCCTCACAGGCGGCTGACGTGGCAATGGCAGAAACGGCAGACGCTACTGCGAGCTTGGACACCCACATAAGTCCTGCGGGCTTGGACGCTACTGCAGGTTCCAAAATGAGTTGCGGGCAGCAAGCAGGGGGGAGGAGACGGAGCATGAGCCAACTGGACATCCCCACGCGCAGCAGCAGCAACCCCTTTGCGACGCACAGCACCACTCATGCCTCGCCATCTCGGGTCCTTGTGGATTCTCGAAGCAGTCATCGCTGCGTGCCGTCCTCCTCCCCTCTCTCCTCGCGGGGGAGGCTGCCTGACGGGTCCCCTGGGACCCGTCCCATGCACCAAACGGGCTTCAGCAGCCAATACCAGCAGCAACAGCACCACCACCACCAATATCACCAGCAGCAGCATCAGCAGCAGCAACAGCAGCATCGCCAGGGTTCGTCCTCCTTCCGCCCTGTGTCTCCCCTCCCTCCAAGACCCGTCTCCCCCCTCGCCAGCCCACCTCTCTCCTTGTCACTCTCCCTCCTCCCCTCACCACCCTCCAAGGCGAGGAGGGGCGACACCCAATCTTCCTCCTCCCCATCTCCCATAGGCTCTCACACACACTCAACCACTCCTACACACTCTGCCACCCCTACAGTGTCAAATACACCTACACAGACAGCCACCCCCACACAGTCAACAACCCCTACCCAGTCGACTACACCTACGCAGACTACCCTTGCTCATACCACCCCGACCACTCCTACAGGTGTTGGTTCAACTCTGGGTATAAGCCTATCGCTGTCACCAGACGCAGCAGCAGCAGCAGCAGCAGCAGCGGGAGGGGGAGCAGGAGGAGGAGGGGGAGCAGGAGGAGGAGGGGGAGGAGGAGGAGGAGGGGGAGCAGGAGGGGGAGCAGGAGGGGGAGCAGGAGGGGGAGCAGGAGGAGGAGCAGGAGGAGGAGGGGGTACATTGGCAGTAGCAGCTGGTGCAAGCGGAGCGTCGGCAGCATCAGGGGATGCCAAAACCGCAGGGGCAAGCAACAACAACAGCAGTGCAAGGGCCCTCGAACGAACCCTCTCTTTGGGCGATGGAACAACTGCTTTCAGCCGCCTGGCTCTCAGTGGAAACGACTCAGCGAGGCGAAAGAGCATCATCCCACGCAACTCCTCCTCCTCCTCCCTCTCCACTCACTTCCTCTCCTCAAACTCTCACCAACCGAATAACATTTTCACCCAGTCTCTTCCCAACCACTTTCTTCGACGCAGTGCAGGTTCGCCTGCTAAGAAGCGGAAGAGCGTGGATGGGAGTGCCATGGATTCTATGGATTGCTTTCGGATGCCTGGAAATGCGACTGAGGCTGGAATGGAGTGCTCTTTTTTGGGCATGTCCCTAGCGAGCTTCTGTGGCGGTGATTTGAATTCTTCCGCAGTTTCTGCACAATGTTTGCAGCATGACGAAAGGCGTAAGGGGCATGTGAAAGAAGAAGAGTGCACAGTGCATGCTCCCATGGAAGGTATAGATTTGGCACTTAGTTTAGGATAAATGAAATATTTTCCGTTCCCTCTGGCTTTTGACATGAATAATGCGAGGCACTTATATAATTGGTGTATCATTCAACATTAGCATAATCATGGAGATTGAACTGAATATGAGTTCAGACAATAATTTTACGCGCTTATCGAACGACCCTTGTATCTGACCTTCAGTCGTGGGCGCCGTCGTCCGCCCTGTCGGCAATCGTCGCCTCGCTCCCAAACGTTGGTTGGGGCCTCGCACCCAATCGCAAGCGGTGTTTGGCGCATATTTAGGCCGTTGTTAATTCGCGAAAGGGAAACGGGTCAGTTTTTCGAGGGCTGATCCCGCCAAAATCTGCTGGTCGTGTCGCTGCGTCTGGTCGTTTTGCGCCGTCGGCTGTTCGCCAATTTGGGCGACGGATAATTGTTTTCTCGCAGGCGAAAGTGTTGCTCAGTGCAGCATGCGACATGCTCTCAGTCTCTGGTTTGTTGACCGACCAAGCAAACCGCGCTTCGAGAATACCATACATCCCATCCCATCCCATCCCATGCAAGGCCCACTGCCCCACCCAAGTCCCGAACCGCGCATTGGGAATTTCGTTGTGCGGGTGATGCTGGAGGCGCGAGGCTATACCCCTGATCTTGGTTTTTGACCGGCTCCAGCAAAAACGCCTGTGAAGTTCCTGCAAACCTTGGCATTCAAATAGCCATGGCTGTTTTATTTATTATCATTCAACTAAGATCAGAAGTCCTCAACCTCTTTTGAACTCTCAGCTCCATTCGAATTCAGCACCGCACAACTCTGCTGCTGCAGCTTCTTACCACGTGCTCTTTTCGTGATCGTTAGTTCGCCCTTTCCTCTTCGACGAACTTCGCAGTCGTCGCCATGGCCAGGTCGCTATCGTTCGCTCTTTTGGCTCTCCTCATCGTCGGTGTGGTTGTTCCCCTGGCGACAGCGCAGAAGGTGTCGCTGTACGAGAAGAACCTGAACGACGCAATCGCTGTCGTCAAGGCGAAACCTGGTTACAAGGCCTTCGCCTCGCTCGTCGGCGCAATTCGTAAGTCCCTCCTCCTACACCAGACCCGCATCGATTACCCTAGCTGCTCAGCGACCATTCTTACCGATCTGTCATTCCTGTCCCCCTTTTCCTGCTTCCATTCGTATCGTCAAGCAGTCTCAGCTGAAGAAACTCCTGCTGCACAAACTGACGATCTTCGTTCTGAGGCGCCCTCACCGATCTCAACCTCTCTCCCACTCGTCTCCCACTCGTCTCCCCCGTTCTCCCTAACCACAGTTAAGCAGTCCCAGCTGAAGAAGCTCGTCCAGCAGAATCTGACGATCTTTGTGCCCAACGACAAGGCGCTCACCGATTTCAACCTCACCCAATACGCCACGGCCGACCTCCTCAAAGTCGTCAAGTACCACGCCGTCAAGGGCGCCTACACGTTCGCGCAGCTTCAGGCGCTCGCTGCGTCCGGCGGCAAGCTCCAGACGACCCTCGGGCTGACGATTGGACTGACCAAGGCGAAGAGGGGCATCGGGATGTTCGGCATGGAGAAGATCGGCGCCGCTGTCCTCGATAAGGACATCTCCGTTAAGCCGACGGTCGTCGCGCAAGGGATCTCCCGCGTGCTCAAGCCCAAGGGTTTCGTGATCAAGGGCGCGGCGAGTTCCGGTACTCCTGCGACGACCACGCCTAAGACGAAGACTCCTGCTCCTAAGACCACCGCTCCTAAGGCGGCCTAAGACGGGTTTACTTCGGACGCTGACTGGCTCCGAGCCAGGAGACGGAGCTACTATTATACAGCAGCCAGCGCCAGCAGCCAGGGGATTCTTCTAAGATGCTACTGGGTCTGTAGAGGGCTTTATGACGGCGCATTCAGTGCCTGATCCCAGCCTCTAGGACCCTGTGGGTCTGTCTCCTACGGTGGTGTTGGCAGCAGCGGCGGTGGAGAGCTAATTTATTCCCTTCTCGGAAAACCAAAAATAAGTCTAATACGTTAGAATTAGAAACGAGGCCAGTGCGTTGTTGCACGGCCAATGACGTGTAGGCAAATGATGTTTATTATTATTTTGTTGAATCACGGTTTTCGAAATGTTAGAAACAAGCAAACACTGAATGTTGAAAGGGCATCCGATATCGCGTACAAGGAATGGCACATTCTCTAGGGACCGGTTTCAGGCCGGCTTCCATAAAATTATCTAAATGCGACGCTGCGATCTGTGCGACGTACGCGCGATGGACCCCGCGATCTTCTCTGCAGGAAGCTTGTTCGCGAACGACAGCGACGACGATTCGCCCCGTAAGGCTGGCCGCTAGTAGGACTCGTCCAACCCTAATCTCGCGAAATGCCTGTTAGTTGCACAACGCAACAAGGTAGTAACATACGGTTTTTCTGTGAGGACTACAACGAGCCTTCGCGACCCAGCATCCTGGTGTTACCTTGTAACCCTAGCCAGCTCGGATTGCTGACCCGTGGTGTAACCTCGCGGTAGCTAGCACCAACTGTTACTTGTCCCGTAGCTTGTCGCACGACGCACGTCGGGCGTCGCTTGTTCGCTTGTCGGATCGCTGTCCCCCGCTGGCGACCGCCTATCCGTGTTAGATTCCTCTCCCCCCTCCGCTCCCCCATTCCAGGCGCTGCGCGGAAGGGGAGGGCTGGCGTCGGGGATGGCGGAGCTCGCGGGTCGGGGGGCGGGAGGGAAGGGGGTGATGGCGACGAGGGGGGAGATGACCGGGGGGACGAGGGCGCGGGGGAGGCGGGGGAGGCGGGGGAGGCGGAGGAGGGTATGGAGTATGAGGAGAGGCGGCATGGCTTCCCCGGGGGACAGGTGAGGGCGAGAGGGAGGGGTTATGCGGGGAAGGGTTTAGTGGAGGGTGGGAGGTGTTTAGTGGGGGGAAGCGGAGATGAGTGCATTGAGAGAAGAGTGGGGCAGGGGAGGGGGAGGGGGCAGGGGGGGGGGATGGAGCATGAGGAGAGGCGGCAAGACTTCCCAGGGGGACAGGTGAGGGAGAGAGGGAGGGGTTTAGTGAGGATGAGGCGTGGACAGAAAAGAGTACGGGAGAAAGAGGGGGGAATGGAGAATGAGGAGAGGCGGCATGGCTTCCCAGGGGGACAGGTGGGGGGGAGAAGAGGAGGGGGGGAGTGGGAGGGAGGAGGAGGGGCAGTGTGGGGGGATGGAGGAGGGGTTTTCGGGTTTCTATCCAGTCAGGGCAAGCTGGTCTGGCCATTAGTTTCTGCCCCTCTGATGATTGACTTAGACTGTTTTTCCTGTATCAGGAGCTGCTTATAAGGGAGATCTTTTTCCACCCAGTCAACGCCAACCTGCTCTAGCCTGCTGTTGCTCCTCTATACCTCCATATGACATGTCCCCACAACAGGAGCTGCTTGTAAGGGAATTCTCCTTATAAGGGAATTCTCCTTATAAGGGAATTCTCCTCCCACCCAGTCAGCGCCAACCTCCTCTGGCCTGGCACTGTTCCTGTATCCATGGTTTCTATACCTCTATAAAAACTGTTCTTCTACCAGGAGCTGCTTATAAGGGAGTTCTCCTTCCACCCAGTCAACGCCAACCTCCTCTGGCCCGGCGCTGTGTCGTTTGCTGATTGGCTCGCCGCCCGGCCGCAAGTGCTAGAGGGAGCTAGAGTGCTGGAGATTGGGAGGTGAGCGGAAAAAGGGGGAAAAGGGGGAAAGGGTGAAAAGGGGGGAAAGGGGGGAAAGGGGGGAAAAGGGGGGAAAAGGGGGAAAGGGGGGAAAGGGGGGAAAAGGGGGAAAGGGGGAGTATGGGAATGAGCAACTGTGGCTCTCCTCCCGGCCTCCAGTGCTGGCTGGTGTAGAGTGCTGGAGATTGGGAGGTGAGTTATTTTGTGGAGGGAGGAGGGGGGAAGATGGTGGGGTGAGGGGAGGAGGGAGGGGGGGGGGGGGTTGCTGGAGGCATGGGGAGTGGGGGGATGAGCAACTGCGGCTCGCTGCCCGGTCGCAAGTGCAGGCTGGTGCTAGGGTGCTGGAGGTTGGGACGTGATGCTTCCATTGAGGAGGGGGGAGAGGGGGGGGGATTTGTATGCCTTGGATCAATTCCAGCAGTTCCCTTTGTTAGAGTCACAATCTCTTCATTGTGATTTCCTTTCAACACTAATCATGTGCTAATAATCTTGTGATTATATCGAGCATGCTTGCAGTGGGACAGGAGCCCTGGCCATTTTCCTGCACAAGGCCATGGGGTGTGACGTCACCACGTGTGACTATAGCGATGCCAGCATCGCAGCCAACATCAGCCACAACTGCCTGGCCAATGGGATTGAACCACTCCAACACATTCGACGTAAGCAAGCACACCCCTTGGATAAATTGCAAGCAATCTGCTCAAAATCGGGGTAAACTCGTTCTGTTGGTTCCCGTCGTATGGAACTCGTTCTATAAGCACACCCTTTTCCCGTTGGTTCCTCCTGATTTTCTCAGCTCCTCCTTCCTTCCCTCCCTCAGTGCACCACACACTCTCAACCCCACTACCCCCCCCCCCCCCTCCACACACACACCTTCCACCCACCCCCCCCCCCCCTTTCCCTCCACAAATAACCCATACCCCACTTTCTCATTCCTCCATATGCATGCATGCAGACACATGGGGGGAACCATTTCCCATCAGAGAACCATCATGGGATGTCGTCGTTGCCAGCGACATTCTCCTATGTACGTCTCTCGTGTCATGCCAAGAACCGTTTCATTGCAAGTGTCATTTCGCATGTCATTCCAAGTTTTAACTCATGAGGTATCCATGTGACACTAGGGACTGTTCTTGGCGTTGCTATCTGTCTCGTGACTCGTCACATGTGTATCCGTGTCCTCGCCTGTTTCGTGTCCTTACAGTTTTAACCCATGCACTCTTATGCGTGCCGTCACCGTCACGTCCATGCCTACGTATCCTCACTTACCATTCGTGTGCACTGCAGATGTGAAAGAGTACCCGAACCTCGTCAAGTCCCTCCGCTTCCTCCTCTTTGGCGCCCTGGAGGCAAAGGCTACAGAGAAGGGGCTGTGCGCATGGAGGCACATGCGCTTTTCCTCTCCCCTGCCTGTCGTCT